GAGGCGGGGGGGGGAGCGGTGGCCCACTCGGGACGGGATGGGACGAGCCCGGCTGGAGCAGCAGGGGCTCAGCTGCACTTTCCCCCTGCTTGCACTGGTCACTCCCGAGCAGCACACGGCTCCACCGCCACTTCTGCTGACCGGTGCAGACCCGGCCAGGCCCATCCCATCCGGAGCAGCACGTGGATGAAGCAAGCTTCCCACCTGATGGGAGGAGCCCAACCAGGTCATCACTGGCCAGCAGAAGTGGCGGCGGAGCCGTGTGCTGCTCGGGACTGACCGGCACAGGCAGGGGAAAGTGCAGCTGAGCCCCTGCCACTCTGGCCGGGCTCGTCCCATCCTGAGTGGCACACGGCTCTGCTGCTGCTTCTGCTGGCCGGTGCTGACCCAGCCGGGCTCCTCCCATCCCCAGCAGCACGTGAGGAGCCGACTTCAGCTGCGTGCTGCCTTTCCTGGCCGGTGCAGACCTAGCTGGGTCCGTCCCATCCGGAGCAGCATGAGGCTTCCCAGGTGCTGTTGGGGATGGGGTGAGCCCAACTGGGCTGGCACTGGACAGCAGAAGCGGCAGCGGAGCCTCTTCCTTCTGGGACCAGCTGGCACAGGTAGGGGGAAAATTCTGGGGGAGGTCTGATGCCCCTGAAGCCCCACTGCTGGTGCAGGATGTTAGAGGGGTCACAACCCCTTGCTACCTGGTAAGTTGTGCAAGGGGCGGGGCTTCCGTGGCAAAGGTCGGGGCGGGACACCCGTCCCAAGATGATCACCAGGGGGTGGAGCAGCTGAAGGGGCGGGGATAACCATGCAGCCCTCGACAGCTCACCAAAATTCATCAAGCGGCCCTCTACCCAAAATAATTGCCCACCCCAGGAATAATCACTTCCCTTGACCTACTGGCAACACTCCTACAAGGCAACTTGGTATGCTGTTAGCTTTCTTGGCAACAGGGGCATACTGTTGGTTTATATTCAGCTTACTGTCCACTGTATACCCCAGGTCCTTTTCTACAGAGCTGCTGCCCAGCCAGTCAGACGCCAGCCTGTACTGGTGGATGGGATTGTTCTGTCCTAAGTGCAGGACTTTACACTTGTCTTTGTTGAACCTCGTGAGATCCCTTTTGGCTCAATCTTCCAATGTGTCTAGGTCTCTCTGAATCCTAACCCTACCCCCAGCATATCTACTACTCCCCCCAGCTTGGTGTCATCTGCAGACTTGCTGAGGGTGCGCTCTGTGCCATCTTCCAGGCCATGGATGAAGATATTGAACAAAACTGACCCCAAGACTGACACTTGATACGACTGCCAACTAGACATCGAGCCATTGATTACTAACCTCTGAGCCCAATGCTCCAGCCAGTTTTCTTTCCACCTTACAGGTCCATCCAGCCCATGCTTCCTTAGCTTGCCTGTGAGAATGTTGTGGGAGTCTGTATCAAGTAATTCAGTTAATACCTGATTTATCAAGGGTTAAGTTTTGTGTGATCGGCCTTTTTAAAAACACTCTGCAGCCATTCATATGGGTTATGTCACAGCTGTAGAGTGCTTTTAGGGGCCTGATTGTGCAGAAAAATGTAACTTGCGCAGAGAGATATAGGACTATTACACATTTCAAAGCTCTCTGACAGTAACAACAAAAACGTTACTACTTCCTTTAGATTTTTTTCCTGTAGTTTTGCTAGAACGTTCACAAAATTCCTTCTAGCCCACTTCAAATATTTATGACCTCTGGGAAAACGAATTTAATAAGAATGAAAAAATGGCTATATCTATGCTTTTACTATCCAGGAACACCGACAAGAAGTTAAATTAAGTTTTCTAGGTCATCTACTTTATCAGCCAGAAACATTTTTATATGCTATAAATATACTCATAGAGAATAAAATCTCTCTGCTCTTCTGTTTCTCCAGTCTTTCACTACTTCGTGTTTGAATTTTGTATCCAAAGAATTGAAAATTGGGAGGCTGAAATTAGAGGTTTAAGGATCCTAATTCTGTGGAAATTGAAAGTGATATGGATGCCTTATTCTTTTGGGCTCTTGTGAAAATCTCAGCCATAGTTGTTTGGAACTACCTTATTGTAACATTCCCCTGAAGTACAATCATTAATGTTTATTGCTATATTTTTAGTTTGCAAATAAAATTGTAATGAAATTGATGCCATCATAGATTTTAAACAAAGGAAAATTATTTAAAGATAAAATATGGATAGATTGGGCAATGTAGTTTTGTCACTTCATGAAAGTGTCTGCTTTTTATCATAAGCAGCAGAAAAGTTATGGTTTGAACTTTAAACTGCCAGAGAGGTTCTTGCTTAAAGTAGCCTCTGTTAATTTGTTCTGCTAGAATTTGGTATCAAGTAGGGGTGCACCAATAAAGATTTTCTTGGCCAATAATGATAGCTGATAATTCACCAGGCATATTGGCCGATACCAATCCAATAATCGATTTACAGGAATGCAGCTGGGCAGCATGGAGAGCATCTCCCTGCAGGTAAGTGTGTGGAGGGGAAGGGCTGTGGGGTAGGGGGGCAGATCCGAGACCTCCACAGTGAGGGAGGGGGTGGGGCAGGGGCAGCAGGGTGAAGAGCACCAAGCCCATAGCGGGCAGTCTGCTTCCACCCTGCGCACAAATCTGGTGGGGCACATGGCCCCCCATGCTTCCTCTAGGGGTTCGTGCAGTGGCAGGAACACACTTCCCCTTCCCCCCTCCCCCCCAATGTCCCTGGATGAGCTGCTCACAGCTCCATCCCACTCCCTGACCCAGCCCCATGGTCCCGTTCACTGCCTTGGCTGGGCAGCGCCCCCAGCCCCTGCCCCATTCCCTCCCTTACCATGGGGGTCTTGATCTGTCTCCCCCCACTCCCCTTTCCTCCCCCATGCCCCTTCCCCTCCACAGACTTACCTACAGAGCGCTGTTCTCCATGCTGCTTGACTGCATTCCTGGCCATGTGCATGTTGTGACTGCACACAGTGTCTGGGGGCCCTTTCCACAAGGCATAATATATTTATTGGTGACATTATCAGCTACACTGGCCAAAAAAAGCTGATAGCCAATAATGTTAATTTTCCTTTTATTGGTGCCGATCAATATGGCACCGATATATCAGTGCACCTCTTGTATCAAGCTAGTTTTAAGTGATAAGCATATTAAAGGCCTTCTAAAATATAGGGTCTAAAGCTGTCCTTTGCATTACTTCTACTTTAGGCTGTCCTTGAAATGTCAGTTTGTGCTGCAGTGGCTCTTGCCCTTCCTCACACTTGTCTTCCTTTCTGCGAAGGCTGGTTGTAAACCCCTGACACTTGTTTATGACTTCAGGTTAAGAATTTGTGTCAGTAATGCCCTCTTCCAATTTTGATCTAGTCTGATCCTGATGCATCTGTTCTATCTCTACATGTTGGATCCAGTACTTTCCTTAACTCATCATAGTACTTATAAAGAAAACCACACTATGTAAAGTACAGAGCTTTTATGTAGTCGACTTTTAAGTAACATGTCTTGCCTGGGCTATTTTATCTTTGGTTAGAATGTATTATTTCTATTAACTGACCAATAGCTTTCTATAATCAGTGGCTTAGTTTACTCAGTCTTTGCTTAAGCAGTCAAAATTGATTATTTGTGTAGCGAGGGGAAGCTGTGTTGTTTTTAGCAGAAGTGATTTGGTTATAGAGGTTTTAAATGAAATGGGAGATTTAAATTTACCAGTAAATTAATGGAGTTAACTGCATTTTATTATCAGTGAGGTGTAACGTGATGTTGCATTCCATTTATTTGACAGACTTTAAGGAGTTAATTAGTATTTGATTTTTCTTTAGCTATCTGGTTATGCCATTCATGGGAACAGACTTGAGTAAGATAATGAAGCATGAGAAATTAACTGAAGACCGAATCCAGTTCCTGGTCTATCAGATGTTAAAGGGACTAAAGGTTTGCCGCTTCTTTATTGTTCTCTTACAAGTTAATTTTTTCCTTGGTTTACAATTGTTTGGATAACTATACATACCATATTTAGCCAAATCCAAGACTATTTTGAATTTAAGAAATTTCCCCCCCAAATAACTAGATTTTATCAATGGAAAACTATATATTTGTTATAATTTCCCTGTATAGGATCTAATTGTTCGAGGGTTGTCTTAAACTTGTTCCCAACCACAGGGGGCAGGCAAGCATCCTGACCCTGGTACTTTGCTCCCCCTATTGCTTATCCCTGTACTCAGTCCTTTGCTGCTCAACCTCTGTTCGCACTGCTGCTCCATCTACCACCTGCCCCCCCCAAGCACTGCTGTCCTATCCCTCAATGTGTAGCTGCCACTTCCCCTTACCCACACTTCTGCCCCAACAGCAGTGCAGGTCAGAGGATGAGGTAGCAGTGCAGGTTAGAGGGTGGGGTAGCAACTTGTGCTGCTGCCCCATCCCAATATACTGCTGCTCCATCACCTGACCCACACTTCTGCCACCATATCCCCTGATTCAGCTGCTGCCAATCAGCAGTGTAGATCAGGGGATGTGGATTGGGCAGCAGCATGTTGGGAGATGGGCAACAGCATGTGCTGCTTCCCACCCCTGCTACCTCATCTCCTGACCCATTCTGCTGACTGGGCAGCAGCACAGTCGGGATTTGGTAGCAGTATGAGTAGGGGACTGGGCAACAGCTTTTCAGGGGATGGGGAAGCAATGTGTGCTGCTTCCCATCCCCTGACCTCCTCTTCCCTATTTCCCCCTCTCCCCTAACTGGATCAAGGACCCATCTGGCTGCCCCATCTCCTGCCTGATTCTGCGACCTGTTCTGCTGCCCCATCCCCCACATCTCTCCTGACTGGATCATCCACCTGTCCTGCTGCTTATCTCCTGCCCAATCGCTGACTTACACTGCCACCCACCCCCCACCTGTTTTCCTGTACCTTTGCTCCTCCCCTGCCCCCACCCTCCATCCTCCTGCCCTACCAGGGCCATCCCTGTGCTTTGGGGGTGCCCCACCGCAGCCACCAGACACCGCCAGCTCCACGCTCTGACCACTTGCCACCCCGGCCCTGCATGTGTTGATATACCCTGCACACCCCAAGGGACGGCTCTCTGCCTTATCCACGCTCCTATCCATCCCTAGCCCAGGCTGCCACCCATCCTGGACTCTAGCCCTGGCCCCTAACCTGTACTCACTGGATTGCTGCAGAAGCGGCAGCAGCATCTGTGGCAGCAGCCCCATCTTTGGCCCTGAGTAATATCGGGACTGGGACAGAGTCGGGATGCTGGTACTTGAATCCAAGATGACTTTTCCTCCTCTGTCCCCTCCCCCGCCATCGATGGCAGAGAAAAAACCTCATCTTGAACTTAAGTGAAATACACTACTTTGGGGAGCTGACCAAACTGTGCTATAGAAATACGAGTACTGAAATTCTCCACAGTGGATTTATTTGTTAATGACAAATATTTTTCTGTGTTGCTTAAAACACTCTTGACACTGAAAGAATATGGATATTCTACTTGATGATCTGAATTTGGGGTCGCTGCATTGAATTCAAGATGGCACCTTTTAAATGCTATCCATACCTCTCATTCTGTTAAGCTAAAGGAGTTTCTCCTGCAATTTCATTCATTCTTTCATCTGCATTTGATTTGTGTTGCATCTGTGGCACATCTAGCCCCTACTAGCTGCAGGAACAAGAGATCAACATTGACTTAGCAAGGCTAGGGTTTCAGTGGCAAAACTCTCAACTTCAATGGATTCAATGTTCCATATGATCAATCCACTCAGGGTATTGCATATGCCAGTGCACAACACTTGAGCTATATGGCCAAAATAAACAGTCTCTAGGCTGCAGAAATTGTTTCAAAATGCTATTGTGAAGAGAACAATGTTGTCCCCCATCTCCATCCCCACCCATAGTAACTGTTAGAGAGAGCCTCCTTCTAGGCTGTGCTCAGGAAGGTTCTGGCTTTTCTGGTAATTCTGTTTGTTTTAATTAACTGTTTGTGGGATTCCTCCTTGGGGATATTCCATATGATTGTTGTAAATTAGTTTTAAACTGTTTTTGATAAGGTCAGTAAAGACTCTGAGGCATAGTATGTCAAAGGATAGAAGCTTGACTCCTGTGAGGTACTGGACTGTTCTGCTTCCTAGTAGATCCAAGAGGTACATAAGTCACTCCACGTTCTCAATATTGGGCTCTTATGTTAGGACCTCAATTAAACAATGTAGTGAAATATACAGCTAAGTTTAGGCATGAAACACATCCCACATGGACAGTTCACTGGCTTAAATGTCTTCCTGAATTGGGAATCTGACATTTCCTGTGAAATTCTAAAATACCTTTCCTTGATGTAACAATTCATGTAGCCATTCCCTGAGACCTGAAGAATCTCTCAAGTCTACTAGCTTGAGATGCTGGGGTGGCTTGGTAGAGGAAAAAGACAAATTAATATGGTTTATTGACAAATCTAAGTGTGGTGTTGCTGTAAGAAGTTAAAACTTTTTTGTAATTATCCTCCTTTCCAGTTTCTGTTCTTGCTCCCCCCTCCCCTATGCCCCCACAAAAAGAGGGAACTACTAAAAAACATCTTATTCTGCTCTGTTTCTTCTTCATTTGGCATTTTATAGATGATTAAAAAGGAGAGAGAACATTTTGAATTCTCCTTTTGCCTGTATGACTCCAGTAAATCCAAGACAAGAACCTTTCACTTGATGAGGACTGAGCAGGAAAGCAACAAGAATTTTTAATTTGTTAATTGTAATGTTTCTTGCCTTTGATTTAAAAAAAACACTGTTTATTATAAAAGGTTTATTGTTTTGATATTGTTCTTTCCTTCTGTTGAAACAGTTTCCAAAAGGAAAGAAAGTTACTCTGAAAGCTATTCTGTTCTGTCTTTAACACTGTGATGCAACTACTTCAGCTTTCAGATGAAATGTGATTGTTGGAAGTGCCTTGACCTAGATTTGCAGGCTGAAACCTGGTTTTTCCACAGTGGGAGCTATTTCTGTAGAATTCAATTCTGTTCATCTACAGGTGTAGACTCCAACATGGCTGTGAAAGAACAAGGTTTAGATTTTCCTGTATTCTTTACACTGTAAATGTTTTTGGTTTTTATCCTGATTTTGCAGTTTATATCATACAGGCCATTGGTGGGAATTTAAACAGAGACCCATGATACATTTTTCTCATTTTAAGCCTTGCATACAGTCTGGCTTCTAACCAGCTTTTCTTTCACATCTATACTATACTGGCAAACATTTGAAACAAAAAAGGAAAAAATCCAAGGTATGCCTACTATGCTGTGATGATGTGTGTGTCTGCTGTTTTACTCTGCACCCTGCTGCTTCACATAGCTATTTCCTTTGTACCTGTTGTTTTACTCCTATGGCCAGACTTAGTTTGTATAGCTTTATTTTGTCTTTAAGTGAATCCTGTTCCTTACTTATTCATCCTATGGCTCACACTGGGAAGCTCGGTGCTGACTGTAAGAACTGAAGTTCACTACATCCTTTCACACACACATCATATTTCCACCCTTGTGCCCCTCCTCACTCCCACCCTCCTGCTCACATGCCTGGTATGTAAATTCTATAGTTCACATGGAGAAAATAAAGCAGAGAAAATCAGAGACTCAATTTGAAACCACAAAAAATAGTAACCCCCATTTCTAGGGTAAGAACTTGGAGCCCCTTGATCTTGACCTTAATCACCAAAACCATATTACCTTGTCCTGTTGTTTATTTGCCCCTTCTTGGGGAAATGGTCAAAACAGTTGATGCATACATGAATTGCAGGGAGCACATTGAGTAAAGAGAAAATGAGCAGAAAGCTCCTCTGGTGATCAGGCATCTCAGTTTTACAGAAACTAGGACATTTATTGCACTACTAGTGAAACCTGCAGGGTTACTTAAATATTCCTTGTAAACAGGTATATATGATCAGTCTAATCTTGCTGCATCGTTCATTGGAAATGATTTCTCTGTTTGCTATTTGTCTTCCATCCCCATGCTTTTAGGAATACAACTCTAACCATGTCAACCATATAAGCAGAAACCTATGACTGTATTCATCCATTAGGACAAGAATATCAGAACCTTCCGTACTGTGTACCAAACATTCTCTAACAAACAATCTGTCGACTTCACTGAATTATTACACTCTTTATTTTTCTCTTCAGACTAATTCACTCTAAGGAAGCACCATTAGATAATTTCCGTATAGAAATTTCCAGCAGTAGAGATGCTTCATGGTTGTTTGCTTGAGGATTTCTGTGAGAGCACTAGACCAGTATTATGGTAGGCTCAGCTTAGTGCTTCTGGGTTCTTGTTTTTGAGAGAATGGAATTTACTTCTCTTTCCTCCAGCCCCATCTCCTTTTGAAAATGTTCCTTGTAAAGGGGTTCATCTTTGCACACTCCCTTGTCACATCATCCTGTATAGATTATACTCTGAAATGTTCCGCAGGCTTAATCCAGAAGTTAGTGGAGGAAACTGTGTGGACTGCACAATTTGTGTTGGAGCTTTGGAACTGGTCCATCCAAAGAAAATGCTTACAGACCTCACTAGTCAGTTTTGTCCCTTCCCCTTCAGTTCCTCCCTTCCCTGTGAGACAAAATAGTCTGGTCACTTCCTGTGTTCTGCTGAAGCTTGTAACTTACCACAATGTAACTAGTTTTGGCTGCAGTAAATAGTTGAAGACTCTATATAACAGCAGATGTATGTGCAGGATCTGTCATTAGTAAAAGCACAGTGCACCACTTTTCACCTAGGGGTGGGTGTCACACATTCAGCTGTTACTAAGTGTAGTTAAAATGCAAGCAGGCACACATTTAAGCTGTTTAGTATGTGTTAGGTGCCTTCATGGTGCTGCATAGGTATTCTCTTTCAGGTAAGGGATTATCTCCTAATATGTACTGATTTTAATAGGTCACGACATACCAATGATTTGCAATAGTTGCAA